ATGAGGAGGAGGCCAGGCCCCATCTTGGGAGTCTGAGACACGGCCTTTTTTCTAAGGGCCATGCCTGGCTTACTGCTCTCATGGGGGAGACACCCACTGTCCTCTATGGGAAGCGTCTGTCTGAAAGGGAGCCATTGACCTGTTGGGGAGCCCTGGGCTATGGGGAGATGTGGTCAGGGAGAGAGCTGTTTGCCCATGTATGGTTGGGGAACCCCACACTGAAGAGGAAATGTGGCCCTGTCCTGGGGATCTTTGACTTGAGGGACAAATCTGGTTTCATGTCTGGGGAGCCTGCTGTGAGAAGGGACATGGTTCCACCTTTGGAGGACCTTAGTCTAAGCATGGAACCTGAAGCCTGTTTGTTGGGAGACCCATTTTGAGAAGAGTCTCATTTTCAGGGAATTCTTAGTGAGGAAAAATAGATGTCCCACCTTGGGGAGTCCCTTGTGGGGGAGAGTTGGACCTTATTTCCAGACCCCTTTCTGCAGGAGGGGGAGGCTCAGCCTGTACTAGGCCAGCTGATATCTAAAGAAGGAAACTGGTCTCTGGCCATGGGACCTTTGTAAGGGTGAGAGGGGCCCTCATTTGTGAAGAGGAGCAGGGCCCTGACTCCAGCCCTGTCTGCTTTGCTGGCCCCTGGGCCCGTGGTTCCCCTGCAATCCACTGTGTGTGACTGGAGCCCCCCGCCTGGCATATTCCCGTGAGGTAGCAGAGGAGGGAACTTTGTCCCTGAGGACATGGGGAATTCCCTCAGTACAGTGGCCAAGCTTACATCAAAGGCCCTGGACCTGCCAGGCCTGTCATCTTCCCAGGTGTAAGGAATCCCTGGATCCTTTTAGGTTCTCTGCTACCTCATGATACCCCTGGGGCCAAGCCAACGGATCTTGCCTGGATCAGCTCTCTTGGCTGCAGGCATGGGCTCCAGGCAGATCTTTTTTTGTGAGAGGTGTCAGGACTAGGTGGGCATATAGCACTGAGCCCCCGCCTGAATTGGCCCCACATGAGCAGCTGCTCCTCATTCTCTCTCCAAGGAGCCCCTGTCTGGGCTCCTGATTTCTCCCCTGGGGTCTCTTTTAGGCAGTGGTTGCCCTGTCTTCTGCCCTCCTCTTTTCTGGCCTCCATACCAGTGGGTCCCTCCAACTTGGATGGCTCCTCCTTCCCTCTTCCGTCGGAGTCCTCGGCTGGGACAGTGGGAGGATCTCCCAGCCCAGCCCAGGATACCCAGCTCCCAGACTGGAGGGGTAGACCTGGTGGGAGGGCACACAGCCCTGCCTTCTGACCACCTGTCAGCTTTGCTGCTGCAGTCTGTGTGGGACTTGGGCGGGCTGGGTGCATCTGCATCCTGCCGCTGGGCCTGGCTTTCCTTCCTGGGGTGGGGTCCTGCTGACCCCTGTGCCCTGACTGCAGGGGCCGAACCTGCACCTCCCTGCCACGTGGGGAGCCCTCCCCACAGCAGAGTGTGGCGGGTGGGCCAAGAGAGGAGCGGGCTGCCCAGCCTCCCGCTGCCCCTGACGAGACAGTGGTTCTCTCCCCCTTCTGTCCTGCTCCAGATGGCGGCTCAGCGGCAGCGGGCACTGGCAATCATGTGCCGGGTCTACGTGGGCTCCATCTACTACGAGCTGGGGGAGGACACCATTCGCCAAGCCTTTGCTCCCTTTGGTCCCATCAAGAGCATTGACATGTCTTGGGACTCCGTCACCATGAAGCACAAGGTGAGCAGGCTTGGCCAGCCCTGGCCTATGCTGGGGCTTAGCCCAAGCCCCCAGCTGTGTTCGCCTGGCCTGACAGGTGCATCCCTGTGTCTAGGGCTTTGCCTTTGTGGAGTATGAGGTCCCAGAAGCTGCGCAGCTGGCCTTGGAGCAGATGAACTCGGTGATGCTGGGGGGCAGGAACATCAAGGTGAGGACAAGGGGTCAGGGCTCAGTCCCTGCCCCCACAGGCATGCAGAGCAGCCCCCATAGAAGTTGCATGTGGGCAGACCAGGGCTGATGGTGGCTCTCATATTCTTGCCTTTTCCTCAGGTGGGCAGACCCAGCAACATAGGGCAGGCCCAGCCAATCATAGACCAGCTGGCTGAGGAGGCACGGGCCTTCAACCGCATCTATGTGGCTTCTGTGCACCAAGACCTCTCAGACGATGACATCAAAAGTGTATTTGAGGCCTTTGGCAAGATAAAGTCTTGCACGCTAGCCCGTGATCCCACAACTGGCAAGCATAAAGGCTATGGCTTCATTGGTGAGCTGGGGCAGCTGAGGTAGGGGAAGGAGCCCATCTGGTGTTGGGACTGGCCCTCCTCACTGCTGCTCCTGCCCTGCAGAGTATGAAAAGGCCCAGTCGTCCCAGGATGCAGTATCCTCCATGAACCTCTTTGACCTGGGTGGTCAGTACTTGAGGGTGGGCAAGGCCGTCACACCCCCCATGCCCCTGCTTACACCTGCCACACCTGGAGGTCTCCCGCCTGCTGCTGCTGTAGCTGCAGCTGCAGCCACCGCCAAGATTACAGCTCAGGTGAGGGCTCATGCAGCTGTGTGGGCTTGATGGTGGGTGGCAGGCTTCTGTTCTTTTCGGGATTGGATCACTAGGTGGTCTTGAATAGCCAGACCAGGGATTGAGCATGGTGGCCTTTTGGGTTGCAGGAAGCAGTGGCTGGAGCAGCGGTGCTGGGTACCCTGGCCACCCCTGGACTGGTGTCCCCAGCACTGACCCTGGCCCAGCCCCTGGGGGCTTTGCCCCAGGCTGTCATGGCTGCCCAGGCACCTGGAGTCATCACAGGTGAGTCTGAGTGGGTTCAAGTCCACTCCTTTCCTGCCCTGTCATTTCAAGGCTCTCTGCCCTCAGCTTCCCTTGTTCCAGGTGTGATGCTCTGAGTCCAGGGCAGGCCAGCCATGGTCAACCAGCTCTCTGCTCCTTTCTGGGAAGGGCAGTAGAGGGTAGGGGGTAGTGACTGATGAACCTGGTTGGTTTTGCTGTAGGTGTGACCCCAGCTCGTCCTCCCATTCCGGTCACCATCCCCTCTGTGGGAGTAGTAAACCCTATCCTGGCCAGCCCCCCGACACTGGGTCTCTTGGAACCCAAGAAGGAGAAGGAAGAGGAGGAACTGTTTCCTGAGTCTGAGCGGCCGGAGATGCTGAGTGAACAGGAGCACATGAGCATCTCAGGCAGCAGCGCACGCCACATGGTGATGCAGAAGCTGCTTCGCAAGCAGGAGGTGGGTGGCCAGATCCTGGTGGGGTAGGGTGGGGTGATTCAGGCAGGCCACAGCTCTCAGCTTTTCCCCTCTCCCACAGTCCACAGTAATGGTTCTGCGCAACATGGTGGATCCCAAGGATATTGATGATGACCTGGAGGGGGAGGTGACAGAGGAATGTGGCAAGTTTGGTGCTGTCAACCGCGTCATCATCTACCAAGAGAAGCAGGGCGAGGAGGAAGATGCAGAAATCATCGTCAAGATCTTTGTGGAGTTTTCCATAGCCTCAGAGACTCACAAGGCCATCCAGGCCCTCAATGGGCGCTGGTTTGCTGGCCGCAAGGTGGTGGCTGAAGTGTATGACCAGGAGCGTTTTGATAACAGTGACCTCTCTGCGTGACCTTGGCCCCATTCCCTGGACTTGCACTTGATCCTTGTTTCCTCTGGGTTTTATAGTGATACAGTGGTTTCCTTGGGTCCAGGCGCCCTCTGCCCAGCCCGGCCTATAGTGTGGATAAAGGTGCAGATGCTGCTGGCCCTGAACATCCCTGTGTCTGACGTTGGTCCTGTGATGCAGCCTGGTGTGTGTGTGTCCGTGTCCCTTCTGTAGGGGTACCAGGGCAAGGAAACGGTGGCAGTAGTGTGTACAGGCTTCTGCTGCTGCAGAGAGGTAGGAGGGGCCTTGGAGCGTGAGAGAACCAAGAACGGGGCATGAGGCATCAGCAGGAACCGACGCCTTTTGGCATTAGGAGGTGAGGGACCCAGTCCTGCCTGGGCTGCCCCGGTTGGGCGGGAAGGGCTTCCTACTCTGGGAGTGGGCTTGCTGTCCTCCCCGCCGTCGCCCACATGTATAGTGTTGAGAGAAGGCTAGCCTATAGTCTCCGAAGTCCGCTAGACAAAACACATGCCATCTCTGCAGGCGCTCTCCTGTCGTTCTGCTTTTAAGAGCTGGTCTTCCAGGGTGAGGCAGCAGGCGGATGTTGTCACGTCCCGGGGAGGGGGCTGCAGGTTGAAATGCGTGGCCGAGCGCCCCGTGGGCGCAGGAGCAACCAACCCAAAGGGGGCGAGGGCCCGGGCCGCTCTGAATGCCAGTTCCCATGGTTCCTTGCACTCGCGGCAGGAGCCACGCCTCCCGGCAGGCTGTGCGCATAAAGCTATTACGGGTCCTCGGAGGCGCCGCGA